ATTGTAAACTTAAAAAAAAATTTTTTAAGCCCAGGAAACAAGCCTGGTTATCCTACGTGCTCGATGTAATTTGAAAAACATTTATTTCCCTCTTTAAACTTTTAACTCCGGATTTAGCAGTCTTCGTGATTTATTATCCTTTATCACATTTACCTTACCATATTTTCACAAATTTCTGTGAACCCCAAGTTTTCAAAAGCAAAGCAGTTTAGGACCCTCACAGAAAGCAGCTATAAACTGAAACTATGTAAGTACCATTAATTAAAGATACAAAGATAAGAACAAAAGGAAATGGAAGTGCTTTACAATTCTTCCCCTAACCTCCCAACGGACAAATACCAACAGACCCAATCTCCATTTTAACACAGCCACTTGTATTCCAAAAAATTAGCAAACAAAAATCATCTAGAACACAGGCATTATACAGCCATGGCCTTGGACAGTATTTCGTACCTCTTATTTTTTTGTCGTTGCTTTATTTCAACTATATGAAACCACTTGTTCACAGCTTCCTAAAACAAAACAGTTTCTGAAACAAAGACTGTTTACATCTCTTAAGAAACCTTTGTTCCAACAAGACCCTTCTTCAAGAGCTACAACTTCTGGAAAGATTTCCCTTTTTGTGGTTATATCAACAACAAACTCTTTCCATTTGGCACAGGAGTTTTGTTAAACAAAGGACGAAGAAAGCCCCCCTCACACAAAGGAGGTCTCCAAAACAGAGCACTGGTTGTGTTTGTAGATTATTTGTGCCTCTTTAACACCCTTCCTCAGGCAGTAGAATCTACTCCTCTCAATACAAAATGGTGGCCATCATGTCTGTCTGACATTCAGAATGGGAAAAGGCAACATGAGCACACATTTTGTAAAGCTTACTATTCCTGTCCTAGCCAAGATGAGGAAATGGGTAGCCAAACCTAAGCAGAGCCAACACTATCTTTTTGGGAAAGGGCCCTAGAAAAGGCACAGGGTAATAAAGTAAGATAAAGGGTTTACCCCAGCCCTTGTACACCACAATACCAACATGGAGGACAACTCTCACTCCCAGGAACCAGACTTCACACATTTTGGTTACCAAGAACTTAACCAAGTTGCCTCATTTCTGACTAAAATCCCACTAATGCAAATGTACAACATCCACACTCACCCTTCCTAGCATATGGCATAAAACTAAACTGCTAAATGTCTGAAACATGACCTATTCTTCAAGAATTAAAACCTTGGCTCTAATCAGCTCCGGCTGTAACTTCTGCAGGCCCCTTTGCACTCTAGAAGAAATGCACGTCCCTTAAGCAACAAGAATCAACCTTGTCCACTTGAGAGAAATGGTTCTATTTTCAAACATTTCCCCCATACGAGCTGACCAGTTATTTTCTGCCGCATAGATTTCATCTTCATTTTCAAACTTGTCCAAGAAAAACCAAAGTACGGTGTCCGTGTTTTAATTTTGGGGGGAGGGGGAAGGGAGACGGGAGAAACGACGTATTAAGAGATCTCCCTCAAAACTGATTTCCAAACCCTAATGACTACATATAGAACCCCTGCAACTCCAAATGTCATTACAAAGAGCGAGCTTAAGAAAGAAAGGGATGGGAGGGGGGAATCTTCCTCCAATGGGGGTGGAAGTGGGGGTGGAGTGGGGGGT